GAGAGAGAGAGAGAGAGAGAGAGAGAAACAAAAAAACAGGCTCTTAATTATAGAGAAGAAACTGATGACTACCTGAGGGGAGGGTGGGGGAGTAGGTGAAATAGGTGATGGAGATTAAGGAGTGCATTTGTCATGATAAACACTAGGTGATGTGTGGAACTGTGGAATTACTATATTGTATACCAGGATCTAATATAATACTCTATGTTAACTAAAGTAGAATTGAAATAAAATTTTAAAAATATTTATAGAGCACCTACTATATACCAGGTAGCATTTTAGGTACTAGAGATACAGCATATATCTCTATATAAAATAAATAAATAAAACAATAAAACAAAGTCTCTGCTCCCACCAAACTTCCAGACTAGTGGAACGAAAGAAACAGTGACCAAATAAAAATACATTTTGTCCGTGCTATCTGACAAAATAATGCACAAAGAAAAATAATGCATGGTAAGGGAAAGGGGAATTACTGTTTATGTTGGTATGTTCAAGGAATGCTTCTTTGACATGAATACTTCTGAATAAGATCTGAATGCTGTGATTGACCCAGACATGAAAATATCTTATTTCATTTACCTAAAATTGTCTATATTTCAACTTGCTCTTAAATGATAATCTAATTGGCTATAGAATCCTTTGGCTTCTGTTATTGTTTTCACAAAGTCTTCTATCAGTGAAATTGTTGTTTCTTTGTAAGTAATATGCCTTTTCTATTTTGCTGTTTTTACGATCTTCTTTTTGGTATTCTTCAAATCCACTATGTGTTGGCTTGGGTCTTTTTTATTATATTGAGATTGCAACTCATTATGGTTCTCAAAGCTAGGGATGTATATATTTCAACAATTGTAAGAAACTGTCATCTATTAGTACTTTAAATATCATTTCTCCACATTTTCTCTATTATCTAACCTTATAATTTTATTAGATTATGCTGAATCTTTTCCTTTTATCCTCCTGTCACTATACTCCTCTTTCATGATTTTTTCATCATTTATTTGTCTGAAATGTGCACTGAACAATTTTTCTTCATATCCATTCTCCAGTTTATTAATCTCTCTTCATTGTTGTCTAATCATTTATATAATGTATCCATTGAGCTTTTATTTTCAATGACTATATTTCTTTTACAGATTATATATTTTATTTTTTAGTATTTATTTATTTATGAGTGAGTGAGTGAGAGAGAGCACGTGCAAGTCAGCGAGGGTCAGAGAAAGGGGGAGAGAGAGAATGCCAAGCAGGCTCTGTGCCACCAGCACAGATCCCAATGTAGAGCTCAAAATCACTAACTGTGAGATCATGACCTGAGCCAAAACCAAGAGTCAGATGTTTAACCAACTGAGCCACCCAGGTATCCCTACAGATTGTTTATTTTATTTACTTTTTAAAAATTTTTTAAACATTTATTTATTTTTGAGACAGAGAGAGACAGAGCATGAATGGGGGAGGGTCAGAGAGAGAGGGAGACACAGAATCTGAAACAGGCTCCAGGCTCTGAGCTGTCAGCACAGAGCTAGATGCCGGGCTCGAACTCACGGACCGCGAGATCATGACCTGAGCTGAAGT